AGCGCGCGAGAATTGTAGAACCCCCCCTCCGATGTTCTAGAAAAAGCAATTGCCAACTGTAAAGAGTGCACGACACTTTCGAATGATCTAAAGGTTGTTTGGTTGGGTACAAACCAATTCTATAAGGCGCATGGGCATATCGAATGGGCACACGAGGGGGCCGTGCCAAATCCAATGGGCACACCGAACGTGGGTACCAAATCCATTGGGCACTCATTCATTCGAATGGGCACACCACTCAATTCAATGGTATATCAACCGAATCCATCGAGAAAATGTCCAAGTCAATTGAAAAATGGTGTAGTACTGTACTCCGGAGTACTACTGGTAGTATTAATACAGCAGTATTAATCCTACTTTAGAGATGAGATAGTATATTAATAATAAAAATACCAACGTTAACTTTTAGCCACACCAGAAGTAGCACTGTCAACAAAATTCGCGTGGTTTGACAGGTCAATATTGTTGTGTTTATTCTAAACTGTAGCGACATAGAGAATAAATACTGGGCTTTTTGGGAACTCCGGTAAGGTAGCTCGTGGCAGGCATTGTCAACTGATGGGTATCCAACCCTGTACCGGTACTGTATGGGGAAATCACATGGGAAACCCTACTTGGCCGAGTGCTTGCATCTACAACTACTCTGAACTGTCAAATTGTGTAGGAATTATGTTCCTACCATTTCATTGGTTGATATTTGAGCCAATGAAAACATTGCTGAAGGGTGTCGTTTGATTGGCCCAGGGCTTTTTCCTTCATTTACCTTCCATCAAGCGACGATGAGCAGCGCCTCCGACGCAACAATCATCTGCGCAACCGAGGGATGCGGGAAGCCCGGAAAGATGATTTGCCCCACATGCAAGAAGATCGGAGTTCCACCCGGCATCAGTAGCTTCTGCACGCAGGATTGTTTCAAGCAGTACTGGCCGCATCACAAGGGTCTGCACAAGATGTTCACAGTGGACGCGGCTGCGAAAGCCGACAAATTCTTTGGGTACAAATTCTCGGGTGCGTTGCGACCTGGCACTGTGAGTGCTATGAGGACGGTGCCAGACCACATAGCGCGTCCGGACTACTGGTCCAGCGGGCAGCCCGTTTCTGAGCAACAAGCCGACCGGAGCGCCAAGATCCCCGTGTACACTGCCAAGGAGATCGAGGGCATTCGATTGGCATGTCGTCTCGGGCGCGAAGTGCTGGACATCGCGGGCCGCGCTATTCGCGTGGGCATGACGACCGACGAGATTGACGTCGTCGTGCACGAAGCGTGCATCGAGCGCGGGTGCTACCCGTCGCCGCTCAATTACTACAACTTTCCCAAATCCGTGTGCACTTCTGTGAACGAAGTGATCTGCCACGGCATCCCCGACTCGCGTCCGTTGGAAGATGGAGACATCCTGAACATCGACATCTCCGTGTTCAAGGACGGGTTCCATGGCGACTTGAACGACACGTTCCTCGTGGGGAACGTCGACGCGGACGGCGTCCGGCTGGTCAAGACCGCGTTCGAGTGCCTCGCCACCGCCATGGCCATGGTCAAGCCCGGCACCATGTACCGCGACCTCGGCCGAGAAATCACGGCCGTCGCAGAAGAGCAAGGGATGTCCGTGGTCAAGACGTACTGCGGCCACGGCATCGGAAGGCTGTTCCACACGACCCCGAACGTGCCGCACTATGCCAAGAACAAAGCCGTGGGCATCATGAAGCCAGGCCACGTCTTTACGATCGAACCCATGATCAACATGGGGTCGTGGCGGGATGGCCGGTGGCCGGACGAGTGGACCGCCGTGACCGTCGACGGCGCGCGGTCAGCCCAGTTTGAACACACGATCCTCGTCACAGAAACAGGGTACGAGATCCTCACGGCCCGCGAAAACGAACCTGTGATGACGTGGGACGTGGAAAAGGTGCAGCGGGGGCTGTAGTTAGATCTACTTAATACTACAAGTACTTGACACTAGTGTAACACTAACGTTAGATGAAAACAGTGGTGCTGGACATGCTCGTATGTGTTGGGGAGTCTTGCCATACTAGTTAGTACCTACTACTAGTATTGTAGTTTATTGGGATTATCGGGTCATATTCGTGAGGAAGTACTGTACCAAATATTACTGGGCGGGAAGGATTGAGCCAATCAGAGGGCACTATACCATACGGTCAGCCAATGAAATCGAAGACTTTGAACATTCAAACCGCGGCCAAAGTCGCCAGTCGCCAGCCAGCCACCATGGGGATCTCCAACTTGCTACCTCAACTGAAATCCATCACAAAGTCGACGACGCTGCATGCGTACAAGGGCAAGACGGTGGCCGTGGATGGCTACGTCTGGTACGTTGCTTTCTGGATGCACACTTGCTGGGCAATCGCTCTAACATGACGGCAGGTTGCATCGAGGAGCGTATAGCTGTAGCCAAGAATTGTGCCTTGGCCTAGACACCGACAGGTAGAGCCACATTCCAGCGTGTGTGTACAGCTTGCTCACAGATCGTGGCAGATACGTCGGCTACTTTATGGAGCGCGTGGGCTTGCTCATCAAGTGCGGCATCATTCCGTACATTGTGTTTGACGGCGGCTACCTGCCCATGAAGAAGCTCAAAGAAGACGAACGGCGCTTGTACGTCTACAGCTCCAATGTCGTTTACGTCAATCAGTCAGTCAGGATGCTCACTTGCATGATGGTTTGCCGAGTAGATCGCGCGAGAAGCATCGCGAGGCTGGGCTCGCGTACCTCAAGGCCAACAAGCTCGACCTAGCACGACAGTCGTTTGTGAAGGCCGTCGATGTGTCACCTTCCATGGCCCACCGCGTGATCCAAGTACAGTATAGTACTTATGGTCTCAACCTACTGCGGGTCGTGTGGCGAGTGATTCGATCCGTTAGCGCCTCCAAGAAACGGGCGTGAAGTACATCGTCGCACCGTACGAAGCCGACGCCCAGATGGCGTACTTGGTGCGCACGGGGGCCGTGGATGCCGTCATCTCGGAAGACTCGGACTGTTTGCCGTATGGGTGCCACCACGTACTACTACTACCTACCTACCAATATTCATCTTCTAACATGGATGAAAACAGGTGCTGTTCAAGATGGACACTCCTGGCAACGTCGAAGTGATCCAAGCTGCCCACTTGGCCCTCAACACAACGCTGTCGTTTGTCGGGTTTACCGACGACATGGTATTGCCCTTTTACCCCAAATTTGGCTGACTTTATCTATCAATCGTCGATTGTTCGTACTGACGTTTGTATGTAAAAGTCGTCGATTGTCACGCTAATTTCAGTGACACACTATGTTAAATTGGTCGAAGAGAGAGTGTTGTTTGATTGGCCTACAACTAACGACATACATTCCTCGATGAATGTATAGTAATCCTAATATCATTTTTATTGTAGTTTCTCGACATGTGCATCCTGTCAGGCTGCGATTATGTGGCGTCGATCCCTGGCCTCGGCGTTAAAAAGTCACACGGACTCATGCTTCGCTACGGCAGCTACCAAAAGGTGCATCCAAATAATAATATATATATATATATTATTTACATCAAGAATTTAATAAGAATTCTTTTTGATTTTTTTATTGAATTTGACATCGAATACGAAGGTCTACCTACATACATATTTGATTGAGACGATCCATATCCAAATAATTTACATAAAGAATTTAATAAGAATTCTTTTTGATTTTTTTATGGAATTTGACATTCGGAAGGTCTATTTGATTGAAACGATCCATATCCATCCATCCATCGTATATATATATATATATATATGTATGTAAATTCATATGTGGTTTGCGTGGTGTGTAGGTCGTTCGAGCGCTTCGACTGGAGGGGAAACTCCCCATCACCAAAACGTACGAGGCCGACGTCGCCAGGGCGCGTCTGACCTTTCGCCATCAGCGCGTGTATGATCCAGTGTCCCAAGTACGTACCTTTGCCAATTGCCATGGCTTGCGCTTCTGTGTACAGTGTACCGTACACTGACACGATGTATTTTATGAAACTAGACGTTGACGCATGTGACGCCGCTCCCAGCCTCGCTGGACGGTCAAGATACCGACTTTCTCGGGCCAATCATCTCGACGGTATTGGCGCGCGGTATCGCAGAAGGCCATATCGACCCCATCACCGGCAAACCCTTCTTGCTGCATCCTGCTGTGACGTTGGCCACACCCTCGAAAGCTTTGGAATATCCGGTGGACGATGCCGACGCCGCGCCCCTCTTGCACACTCCTCCTACATCGCATGTCCAAGACCGACCGGACAAGGAAAATGCATTCACTAGGCTCCTCCAAGCGGGGTCGCTCATGCCTCGGTCCACCATCAGCAAGCGCAAGCTACCCGCCGCCGCCGCGTCGACCAAACGGCGCCAGGCCCTCCACCCCGTGAACCAACCACATGCGAATGTTGTACGTACAAACAATATGTGTGGTGTGGGTTGTGTGCTGGTGGGGCTAGTCGTAGCAGTGTATGTGTATGTATGGTGTAAGCATGCTCGGTAATAATGGTGTTTGTGTACTCGTGGGGGGGAAGGGGGAGGATGGACTCATAATGTATGTATGATGTTTGTACACAGACCAACACTTTGTTTCAGCCGCGCAGTCGATACTTTTTTGGAACGCCGCCATCTCCAGCGCCAGAACCAGTAGCAGCACCCTCCATCAAGCCATGCATGTCGTCGCGGCCGTTGAAATCTGCTGGTTTAGAAGAAGCGCATCCCCCAAGTCTGTCCACAGTCCCCTCACAGCTCGACCATGGCATAACGTCGTCACAGGAATCGCGTCAAGATGGGATGACGGCAGCGCGTTCAAGGGCTTCTCCCCCGACAACAGCAACACCCACAACCATCGCAGCGTTCAGTCGGTTTCGATTTCACCAGCAAACATAAGTCGAGACTGGTGGATTTCATCCTTTTGCAGACATACATGCACGGCACTTGATGGTTTACGCATCATCGTCGTCTTCGATGGGCAACTTGCACATGGGGCACGCGTTGTTGTGCTGGATCCATCCATGCACGCAGTCTATACAAACGTCATTGAAGTGCACATGATAAAGTAGAGCGTACGTACCATAGTGAAACGTGTGGACACAAGGCAACGTGAGCACGTGGTCGTTGGTGGCAAACTCGTCTTGGCATACAATGCACCTAACCAGGAGTGATAAACACAACCAACCACAATGTCGTCATTCAAGTACATGGAGTTGTCGCCCGTGGGGACTTGCTTGAGGCGATGGTTGGGCAACCTCGAGATGGCGTGGATGGCCCGCTGCCGCCACCGGTCCTGCTTGACGTCGCCCATCTGCTGGCCAAGTTGCACCAATTCCTACCGATTTCCATCAAGTCGTTATCCTCTGTATATGCATGTATGTTCGTACGTCGTGTGACATTGTATCGATGTTCACAGACAAGCCGCCGCCGCCGCCTCCCTAGCATGAGTATGTCGCTGACGGTTACATGGAATAGAACCAAGTCACGACATATGTGTACATTGTTAGGATCGGCAGCGCTGCTTGCCATCGCCTGGCGAAGCAGGTTGAGCGAATGCAAGTGTTGTGATGCTTGAGAATTCTAAGTTTAAAGTGCCAAATGTACTGAAAAGACGACTGTGTGTGTACTACTTACGTGTGCTGGACGGTTGTGTTGGTGCAAAATCTGGGCAGTTTGTTGATCCCGAACTTGCTCGGCAATCCTCGCATGATGCTGTCGCGCGTTGGCCACTTCCTCCGCCTGTAGCGCCATGGCCAACGCCAGCGACGCTTCTTCGTGAGCGTCTGGTCCATTGCTTGACCTTGCAGAGTTTAAAGCAGCTCCTCCCTCGGTCCTCGATTCAGTTGGACGTCCCCTCGCAAGAGTCCGTGTCGATAATGTGCTGGATGACCGGGGCCATATACCCTCCATCATAGCATTCCGATTGTGGGAAAATGAACCAGTCGTTGCGGACCTCCCAGCAATGTTGACGCCATTGGATCCATGAGAAGGAGCGAGATCAACGGGGGAATTCGATGATGGAGAAGGAGCCGAGAACGGTCGAGCACGGCGCGCCGGCGCTCCCTATGAAGCTGTGACGAGCAAATAGCATGGAAGGGCGTACATTCGACGTCGCCTCTGGGAATTCAAAGTAGTAATGCCCTTCGCTCGAGCTAGGACGAGGTTGTTGACGTTGTCGCGTTGGTGTCGTGAGATCAATCGGGGGGTATCTCTAAGCCATCCAGATGACGTTAAGCCCGACTTGGGCATTTTACAAAGCACACCGAACCTGGTTCCGGGTATCCATCGTCGGCGACGGCTGGGTATTTGATACCATAGGGCGCCGGGCAGTCAGCTCATCTTCATCTCGAGAATTGCGCCGTTCTCGTCCAATTGTCACGGTATGGCGCTGCCGAAGTTTCAGGTACTTGTTCTACCAAAAAAGGGCCATGAGATCGTGCCGCATGATCATGCGGACGTACCATCCAGTACTCCTTCTCCTTCTTCTCGTACTCCACTTGTCGTTGAGCATCCGCCAATTGCTGCGTCAACCTACCGACAAGATCGGTGCTTCCTTCCATGTCACCCGCCAAAATGGAATGGAGCTCATGATTCTTTTCAACCAATCGGAATCGTTGGGTAAATAACGAAGTTCGAAGTACATGATTGAACCAATGAGAACTCCGCAACATCGAAATTCGAAACTGTTTGCACGAACGGACCAATCACAAGTCACCATCACATTCGATCACAATAATATTGGAAACGACCTAAATTAGCAAGCCCGTTCATGCGCAGTGACGCCCTGGCGCCCATGGCCCCTTGAAGACCAGCACATGTGCGAGAAGCAATGGTGAAGGACTAGAGGCAAAGCAGGCAGTCCTTGTGACGCTGGGGTGAATCGGGTGATTCAACTTCAAGGTAGCACACAATACCCACCCCATGATGACTGGATTATCAACCCTGTAAACTCAAGAAATAGGCCTAATGAACATCACTAGGATGCAGAATGTAGGTGTATTTTAACGTTCTTTCGAAGCCGCATTTCAATAAATAGTGTTCATTATTCAAATCCTACCATACCAACATAAAGCTATTTAATACTATTCGGTAAATACAATGAATGTTGTATTAAAATATACTTCGACGACCGAAACTGTTGTTCGATCCCGAACTTAGCCTGGGACTGCGCATGTTCTCTCGTGAAGAGTCTTTACTCATAACCGAATTTGCTTCCTCTGGCAACAATGATCTTTGCCCTGTGCACCAACGACACGGTCTTGAAGGTCGAGCAGTGCGACTACGACTTTCTCTGCGCCAACACGACGGCGTTCCTCAACGTAGACGGCACCACCGCAGTCTTTAGCTACGCAGACTCGGACGGCGACTTGGTCACGATCAAAACCCAAGCCGATGTCGACGAAGCCATTGCGTATATGAAAGATACTGGCTTGGACACCCTTCGCATCAACGTGGGCTTACCCGCCACGACAACTACTCCGGCCAGTGTACCCGCTACTGTCGAAGTGCCTATCCCCCCTGTTTTCATCGAGGTTCCTGTTGTCACCCCATCCCCACCTGTGACCCCACCTACCATCCATTCCCGTCGAGTATGTGATGGATGCAACATGTACCCGATTGTCGGTACGCGTTACCGTTCCACGCGCAACCCCGGGCTCGACTTTTGCCCGTCGTGCGTTGCGCATACAAAGTGGCAGCGTCATGCTCCCTTTGAAGCGATCGACAAGGAACTCGTGACCCACGACTCTGTGACGTGCGACGGCTGCCACATGAGCCCCTTGGAAGGCGTGCGCTACAAGTCTGCGGTGGTGGACGATTTCGACCTGTGTGCGGCCTGCGAAGCCTCGGGCAAGTGGGCGGTCACGCACGAGCCATTCCTCAAGATCACACACCCCCGTAAGTCGATTCGTCCGGACAATGTCCACGACGGCGTGGTATGCGACGGATGCAACGTCCACCCGATTGTCGGTGCCCGCTTCAAGTCGGCGGTGGTCAAGAACTTTGATTTGTGCGAAACGTGCGAGCGCTCGGGCAAGTGGAACACCAGCCACGGCCCGTTGCTTAAGATTTACACGCGTCAACAAGCCCCCGCCGCGTTGTATGTGGCCATGGCCGACGACGAACATGTGCTGTCGCAGGCTGAGTTTACAGCCCAGGCCCAGCAGCAACATGGCCATCACCCGCACCACCACCATCCCCACCACCCGCACCACCACCATCCCCACCACCCGCACCACCATCCACATCACCACCCGCACCACCATCATGGTGGCCATCACCACGGGAAGCAAGGCAACATGGGCGATGCATGGAAGTTGAAGCGCGAGTTCTGGAAGCAGCACTGCCACGAGCAGAAGACCCAGTGGAAGGAGCAATGCAAGGAACAAAAGGCCCAATGGAAGCAAGAGAAGAGGCAATGGAAGCGCCAGGGCCGCCATGCCGCCGAAGGCAACCCGGCGCCGGCCCCGCCTTCGTTGGGCGAGATGATGGACCACATCAAAGCGCAAATGAAGGAGCACTTTACCCCGGCCAAAGTGGCCGAAGTCCAAGACACGCTGAAGGCGCATTTGCCAGTGGAGGTGTTTGAGGCGTTCAAGGCCGGCTCGGACGAGTGGCTAAAGTCGGTGGCGACGGACAGCCCCGTGTACAAGGCGGAGTTTGTCGCTGACTTAACATTGCCCGACGGCACGGTGTGCTACCCCGGCGAGTTGCTGACGAAGCGATGGCATTTGCGTAATAGCGGGGACGTGGCGTGGCCCGAGGGATGCGTGGTGACGTTTGAAGGCGGCACTGAGATGGCTGTTGAGGGGGCTGGTGTGACGCTTCCCCAGGTAACGCCTGGCCTGGACTGCGTGGTGGAGATGTCGTTGGTAGCTCCCCGGGCGGGGGGTCGCCACGCTAGCCACTTTCGCTTGAGTACTGGCAATGGCGCCCGATTCGGCGAAAAGTTCTGGATTGACGTGGTGGTGGACGCCAAAAAGGCGCAAGTGGCCGACGACAACATGGTGGTGAATGCGATTCCCTTGGCCACGCTTGTCTTGCGCGACGAAGATGACAAGGCGCGAGTTGAAGCGACGGGGCTGGTGGAAGTCCCGGACGAAGAGGAGGAAGAGCTCACGAAGGATGAGGACGAAACAGCGTCGGAAGCGTCGGACGACTTTGTGGCTGTGACGAGCCCGGCGGACGAAGACGCGCTGGAAGCGGAGGCGGACAAGTTGATGGAGGAGGAGCAGCACGAGTTTGCCACGGAGCTGGGCGTGTTGGTGGCCATGGGTTTTGAAAAGGATGACGAAACCCTGCGTGGGTTGCTGACGCAGTTTGAAGGCAACTTGGAAAAGGTGGTGGAGCAATTGCTGCAGTAACTTCGGAGATGGTGGTTTCTGTTATATTTCTGAATAATAATATACTTTGAATCGAAAGTTGTAAACTGCTTTCGTATACTGTAGTAGTGATGCACATCGTATATCGTGGATTCGGTACAAATTTCCAGACTTCGTCGAATCGAATCTCGCCGCCGAATCGATGGACGCTTTTGGCTCATCCAATCTTGAGTGGATTTGATTGGCTCTTACAGAAAGGATGTTTAGAATGTTTGTCTTTTTGAAACGGAAAGGTCAACTGGCCAATCAAAACAGTCCAGCGCAGAGCAGGTGGTGATTTATGGTGCTGCCACGTTCACCCGAGAAATGAATGAGAGAGGATGTATTGAGCAGCAGAATGGAAATAGGATTCCCATGGAGACTTCCTCCGCCTTCCTCGATACATCGGATGCACGCAGCATGCTGCAGTCGATCCCTTTGGACATCGTATTACCAGGTTGCTATAAACCAAGCTGCAATCGCGTGGAATGTGACGTGGCGACTGCTCTGACCAGTGTGATGGACGGCGTGGATGTGTTGCTGATGCAAGGTGTGTATATCATTCATGACATCGTTTGAAATAGATCTCACTGGCAGGCATCGCCAAGTTTAACATGTGTGCCGTCGACGGCATTCGATTCTGCACGGACCACCTTGTGGTGGACAAGTCGCCTCAAAGCGTCGCGTCGTTCCTTTTTGAGCATAATGGCAAACTGGACAAAGCAGAGGTACCATATCGCACTGTACATCTATATAAAACGCATCAAGCTGTTAGATAGGGGCGTACTTGGGCCGGTCCCCGTGGTTCCAACATGGCTTTTGCGTTCAAGTGTTGGCGGCGTTCGTCGAGTTGCTCGACTTTACCGACCTTGTCGTGGACGAAGCCATTCGAAAGTACGGACGCATCATCATCAAAATATACCAACTAGTTAGTTAGTACATATATACTCATGAACTACTGTAGATTCCTCGCGTACTTTCGACTGCCAGGGGAAGCTCAACAGATCGCCCGAGTCCTGGACGCGTTCGCGTTTAGGTAGAGGTCTTATATAAGTTAGCGGTCACTGGTACAGTACATAAAAGTATGGTATAACAGGTACCACGCGACCAACCCCACAGTGTTTTCATCCAGAGATGTCGCCTTCATGGCGGCGTATTCGATCATGATGCTTCAAACGGTAGCCGATGATGCCCATTGACCGTATGTCCAGCTGACCAGCCTGAGCGCAAGTAGGATTTGCACAACCCACGCATTCCCGTGGACAAGAAAATGTCGAAAGCAATGTTCGTACGGTGCAACCAGGACGTCTACGGCGGCGGCTCCGACCTCGCCCCCGACGGCTTTTTAGGTAGTTCATATACCACCCCTTTGGTTTGCAGACTAACTGTTAAGCGTGTGCCTGTGTAACGTGCGTTATGATTAGGAGGCATCTACGATCGCATCCAAGAGCGCTCGTTGGATCGGAAGGACGGAAGTCCGGGGTCGGCAGCTTGCGCGAAGTGCCACTCGCCGTTGCCAGCCGCCGACGACCTCGCCGTGTTTTCGACAGTGGTCGTGGACAACGGGGACTTTTGCGAAGTGCTCGACTCATGGTCAGTCGTGAAACACGTGACGTTGTGCGGGTCATGCTGGAGCCACATGTACCAGTGCCATGACGTGGCTTTCGGGTTTTGCAACATTGGCCCAACGTCGTCCGAGTGTGGCGGCAGCTAGAGGTGGTTCCAGCTAAATCAACCACGACGATGCCAAGAGGTCGACTGTAGAAACGACGTGAAAATCGTTCCAAGGCAATGATGTTCGTAGTTACATAGTTGAGTTGATTGTGAGCTCAAGAGTTGGCACTTGCAGTTGGCTGGAGACTGGTGACCTCCCTCGCTGACATGTAGGCCTAGCAATCCAATCCACCTCCTCCTCCAAGTCATGGCCAATCCATATGCAGGTCACCGCCATCGCTCGTCCACTAACGACTCTTGATGCACATGCAGTTGTTAGCGTGGACGATTCACGACTGTCTCGAGCTGAGCCTTCTTCTCTCCTACTAACGTTAATGTACGTACTGTACGTGGCAGCACTGTGCGCGAGGGATGCACTTCCGGATAAAAGTACTATAATATCCGGCTCCATCTGCATTTCGAGTGTCGTCGTGCTCGACGCAGGCAGGCAAATGCAGATGATCTTGGCGCTCCTTCAGACGCTGCTACTATGCAGCCTTGTCCATGGGACTGCGTCTGCATCTACATGTATCAGTGCTCTTGACGGGCAGGTGCTGGACCTTCGCAATTCTGCGCATCTTGTGAACGACGACTACTGCGACTGTGTGGACGGCGTCGACGAACCTTCGACATCGGCGTGCTCCCATCTACCAGCATCGATGTTTCACTGCAGGAACGAAGGAATCTTGTCGCTGAGTGTGCACACGTCACGCGTCCACGACGGCGTATGCGATTGCTGCGACGGCACGGACGAACGTTTGGGGCGTTGTGCCAACACGTGTCATGTCGAGATTGGCAAGCGGCGCGAGCGCGCGATGAAGGACCTAGTTGTCCTAGAAACGGGCATGATGGAGCGGAAGCGGCGTGTGCGTGTTTTAGAGGCGGAAGACGAGAAGAAGGCGGCGGACTTGATCACGCATGCAGCCGTCCAACGCGAGCTGCGACAGCTAAAGCAAAAGGTCCAAGTGTTCCTAGACCGAGAAGCTCGGCGGGAGTTTGAACTGCAAGTCGCGTCGGCCAAGCTAAAGGAGACTGTGCAAAACGGCAAATGCCTTCCATCCGACAGACACTTGCATGTCACTGACACTCCGCCGAACGAAGACAACGTCGTTCCACAAGCCTCTACGACCTCCACGACCACACAAGCGTCCTCTTCTACGGAGCATCAAGTGGCTAGCGAGTTCAAACAAGCCCAAGTCAAGCGCATTCTAGGCCATGCCGTTGTGTACCGCCAACATGGCAACTGGGTACGAACATGCGACGATCGCTGCTGGTTCAATAGTCTCATCTGTCCTGTAGATGTCCTTGTCTGCTTACATGCATGATGTCGTCGAAACCACGAAAAGGCACGTAGCTGACCATCCATGGAAACAATATCACCAAGTGTATGACTTTGGTGGTAGGATGCCAGTGCGGACAGTGTCTGAGCGACGCAAACAGGATTTTCTGGGTCCATTTTTCCATGGGGGCCGCGAAGGCCAAGTGGTCGTGCTCACAGCTTTATTGCGGGGCTTGGGTATGTCTGCCTTGTCCACTCGCTTCTCCGCCACGGCCAGCCATTGAATTGATCCCTATCAAAACCTGAATGGATGGTGGCTAGGGCTTGTGCTGTCGCCGGTGCGGCTGCTAGTGGAAGGCGCATGGTGGCTGCAGTACTACTGGTCCCATCTATTGCACTGCGTGCTGCCGTCGTCGGTCCTGAGTCTGGTTTGTACAGCAGTTGTTGGCTTACGTTGACTGACTGGTAATGCAGTGGCAGACCATCGTGGACGCTGTTGAGCTGGACTGGCGCTACCAAAAGTCGCTAACGTTGCGACGGATGTCTCAAGGCCGGGTTTTCTGGTGGTACTGGTACATTTCGTCGGGGGCGGAGGTTGTGTGGGACGCGCCGGTCGTCACATACAAGTACCTCTTGTACGTAGTTCAATCTCGATCCACTTGGCCCCATATCTTGCAATGCTAACGTCATTATTCGAGTAGCCCTACACTCGACATGACGGTGGTGCTGCCAGAAGCGAAAAGTTTGCGTAAAATCATTGCAGACATTGACCACGACCTCGCCCGTACCCAGCTCGTACGATCTTGTCGAAACCAACCAACGAATGCCAGCGATCCAATTCTAATATCATTTTACTTGTGATGGAGTAGGACATGGATGCACTCAACCAAGTGGATGCTGTCGACTACGGAGATTGCTGCCGGATTCTCAAAGGCACGTGTGTCATGGCCCAAATTGAGGTGGGCACAGCACAGCACGTCCTATTGAAAATATCACGACTGATTGGATTCTTGTGTGGTTGTAGAAATATGTGTACAAAGTGTGTCCATTCGAAGCTGTCCATCAAGACAAGACGCTGTTGGGGTCGTGGAAGCGATGGCAGCCCCAACCAAACGCAAATGAACCCCTCACGATGGTATTTGAGGACGGCGAAAGGTGCTGGAATGGCCCCAGTCGGTAGGTTTGTACGCAGTCTCCTCCCTGGACACAACCTATGGACATGCAGTTGTTGTTTCGCCGTTATCCCCACGGAACGTTCTTGGGTTGTAGTTCCGTTCTCGTGGTGTTGGAATGCGGCGCACAAGACAAAATCCTTCGGGTGGAAGAACTCTCGACATGCACATACACCATCACCATGACTTCTCCCGCCGCGTGCTCCCAAGCCCACCTGGATGCCACTGCCGCAGCCGCACGCGTATGGCCACCACACAATGAACTATGATAACCACCACAACAGACACATCACTTCACACCAGTTAATTCCCCTTCTTGCCTCATTCAAGCATTTATTCGAGTAGTTTTCGTTGTCTCACTATCGCTCTAGCTTTCAGCTTGGTTGCAAGTGTGAAAATTCCACGTATACAAGTACTTTTGATTGTGGGGTATAGTGCACCAAGTAAGTTAGTCCACGGCCGACCAGGTTTGACTGATACAAGAACCATGATTAATCAATTAAACATTGGCGACACATCGAACATGGGCGACTGCAGGGACGTTGCTGCTGCTGTCGGTGCCAGTAGTAGCCACGCAAGATCTCGGAAACGAGTTCAACAACGACGGGGCACCCGCTGCTTTGATGCGGAACACGGGACCATTGGGGGCGTCGTCCGGGCCAGCGGCGGGGCGGCACGACGTCTGCGTCCACACGTCGACATTGTCGGCACATCCAGCGTTCGCCAAGTAGTTGTTGACCAACTCGGCCATCGTGGGTAGCCTCGCCCGCAGATTGTCACACAATTTCACAGCAGCGTCGTACGTGGCAGGCCCAGAGCACGTCCACGAGTCGCGGACGTATGGCATCGACGCATTCGACACCACACTGCCGTTGCCGTCGTATAACACTCGGGTGACCAAGCCGCTCGTGCAGATTGCCGAGCCGGCGCGGCGAGTCCACTGCAGTCCAGCACACGTTGCAGGGGTCCGGGCGGTGACGACGGGGGAGCAGCTGCCAGTTTCGCCGAGGCGGTACCCGTCGTTGCATGCGCATGCAAACGACCCGCCCCCCTGGCTCACACAGATGTGGGCACACGTGTGCGTCCCCGCAGTACATGGGTCGAGGGTGCTGTCAGCGGCGCATTGCACAAAGGGGGACGACGAGGATGGGACAAGGCAAAGTTCCTTGTTCGCCCCCGACCACGAAGATAAACCTGTGGCGATGTAGCCGACTGACCCCGTGGTCGAATTGCGGCAACTTGTGGACGTCCACACGCGCTGGCCCACAAATGACGGACACGAGTAGGCAGCCCAAAGGCCCGCGCGGATTTCAAATAGTGTGGGGAGGCGGCTGCCTTGGGCTTTGCATTGCGCTAATGAGACAGGCCACGTCGTGGGGGGGAGGCAGAGCCGAAGGCCATTTTGAACAGACTTGGCCATCAATTGCAGGTACGAGGCAATCCAGGCAGGGGCCACAACGCCCAAGCGTTGGGTAGCACATAACCCAGACTTTGAGTCCACATTCCAGCTCAGGTCGGAGCATGTGGACGTCGACAAGGTGGGCGTGGATGTCTGGCACACTCCGCTGCTGTCAACGTTGAAGCCTGGACTGCACACACAGCTGGTGATGTTGGTTCCTGTGACCACAAGGCACTGCTGATCTCGCGAGCACTTTCCCGAGCAAATGGGGACGGGAACTGTGTCGGCGATGCAGGAAGGCGTGAATGTAGCGTTGGGGGAGACACACACGGGTTGCTTGCGACTGCTGGTTATTGTGAGCCAGCCATCCGTCATGCTGAGCGAGGATGTCGGCAGTCCGTCCGCGACGTAGGCGCATCTGGTCGACGTCCATACCCGTGTGTCGCCGCAAGTGGAGGCCAGCGTCGCGCCTTGCATCACTTCAAACAAAGTGGGCAGCCGCGCGCCCAATTGCACGCATGTCATAATGGCCGCCGTCGCAGTGACCCGCGCTTTGGAGGTGCAGCTGCCTTCGACGCGCGCGCATGTAGAGTTCCCCGCGATCGTGTTCCAGTTGAGTTTGGCGCAGGTGGCGGTAGAGAGCGTGGTTGGCACGTCTGGAAGTATGGGAAGACACGACTTGCCGTCAGGTTGCAGCCGGAACCCTTGGTTGCACGCACAAGCGTAGCCATACCCTTGATTGAAACACAAGTGCGAGCATGCGTCTTGGCTACAACGCTGGGATGTGGTAGCTCCTGTACGGCAACGATATGTCAACAGTCTATACGAGGTTGCTATAATGTATACCTCGATCTCGGACGCATCGAGCAAAAGCAGTCGGGATAGATGTGTTGGAGCATGTGGGTGGAATGTACGACATTCCGACGTTGGACCCGCCCGATGTGACGACCCCCTGAGATTGCCCCGTCGAGTTGAAACACGGCGACGACGTCCACACTTCGCTGTAGTCGTACTTGCAACCGGAGCCCAAGACAATGTCGTTTGCCACTTCAGCGGCAGTGGGGAGTCGACCCCCCAGGGATGCGCACCACGCCAGCGCCTGAGAGAAGTTGACGCGGCCTGAACAAGCATTGGTGGTCGAAGCAAACGATCTAGCGCACGGATCGGTCAAGTTGTTGTTCAAGTCGGGGGGGGTCCAAGGTTGAGGGAGGCCATCGCACGCCACAGGCGACGGCACGGGGGGTAGGTTTGTGCACGTCACCCCGTCGGCCTCGAGGCGCTGCGACGGGCCACACTCACAGCGAAACCCGTCGGCCAAGTCGATACAATCGTCGGAGCACAAGTTGTTGCCCACGGCAGCACACGACCCCGCCACGAGTTTGTCGGCCACACAAATCGGGAACGCGGTCTGGGTGGTCGCCGTCAAGCAGACCACTTTGTCCAGAAGCTGGGGGCCCCCTCCAGCTGCCGCGACTCCGATCATGGGCTGCTGGTCTCTGGAACATGCTGTGGATGTCCACACGAGCTTTTGACCGTAGCCACATTCGTTTGATCGCACTAGCACATCCAGGCCACTTCGCAACTCGTTCAACAGCGGGAGCCGGGCGCCGCGACGGGCACAGTACTGTATAGCGATGGTGTAGTTGACAGCACCGGGGCATGTGGGGTTGTTGGGGGTCGCACGTGAGCTCGAGCAGATGGCGCGGTCGGTCAACAAGTCCGTCCACTGCAGTTGCCGGCATGATTTCGCTGATGTGGTTTGGCTGCTCGATGGAACCAAGGGTACGCTCACCGTGTCTCCATGAGCAGACTCCAGCGAGTCGCCTCCAGACGAAGGTAGCTGGCAGGTGATACCCCCAGTTGTGGTGGCCACCAACGCCTTGGCATCGTCGCAAGTGCACGTGTACGAACCTTCCGTGTTCCAGCACTTGTCACTGCATGTGTTGATGCCCAGCTCGCACTCGTCAATGTCTATACACGACATCGTGAGCTCCACCTTGCACCTAGCCACCAACTGGTACATCGTACCTGGATCAGCCACACACACAACAGTAGCCAGGTCCGCGGACGCTTGGCACGACTCCAAGGCGGACGTTGTGGCGATAAACCCCGGGCTGAGACCGTTGGCGCATGCCGTGTTGGTCCAAAATGCCACCTCATGAGAGCAGGCTAAGGTCAAGTCGGTCCGTCCCAGCACTTCTTGTCGCAGCGGCAGTCGCGCGCCGCGGGACCGGCAGTACGTTCGAGCGTCCGCGTACGTCATCTTCTTGGTGCATCCAGTATTGAGGACGCACATTTGAGTGGCTGGCAGCATCTGTCGGTTGAGTTGTTTGCACGTGGACGCCGACCGCAAGAGAATCGTGGGAAAGCACGACATGCCGTCGCTGCCGAGGGTAAATCCGGCGTCACAAGTGCACGCGTACTGGGAATCCGTCTGTGCCACGCATACATGTGAGCACCGACTCCCGAGACTGCACGGTGTGAACTCTACGCCAAATCTTGAGTCCGGTGCTACGTACAGTCAAGAAATGTACCTTTCTCGCTGATACAGATGGGAAAGGCCGTGGACGTCGAGTCGGGGACGCACGACCGTTGCTGGGTCGAATCGGACACGATAATGAAACCGGACTGTCCGGACACCAAGAGGCACGATGTGGCCGTCCACGTCCATCCGTCTGAAAAGTCGCACAGCGCCGCTTTGAGCCACCCAGCTTGCGACTCGGAAACTGTCGGAAGGCGTCCACCGAGACCTATTCGGTCAAAAACAACGCATGACTGGTCAGTTGTATACAATCCCACGAGTGTAACAACTTGGATGGATAGAAGGTACCAGTGCATCGCGCGGTCGCGGCGGCATACGTGCTAGGGGGCACACATCCCGAGAACGTATTTGAGTTGGCACACAAGTTGGAGCTGTATGCAATCCCCCACGACAAGTTGGAGCACTTCATCCGTGTGCGTGAGACGTTGCGTTGGACGGCTTCGACCATTTGGTCGGTCGAGAGGGTCGAGTACGCTTGACGCATGGCAGTATTGGGCGTGAGTTGGTTTCGCACGACGTCTCCCCAGCACACCACCGTGCCATTGATGGCCGTCGCGCAGGAATGGGTGGTGCCTGTGGTCACCTGGTAGAACAAGCCAGCTGGGGGCGACGCTTGCCCCAAGGAGTTGTCGCCCCAGCACCGCAACGCCCACGATTTGGTCACCGCGCAGGTGTGGCCCCACCCGGCGGCAAGTTGAAGCACGGGCATGTTTGGAGGCGGAGTAGCCTCCCCAAACTCGTCGCTGCCCCAACAATCCACCACGTCGTTGACCCGAATGGCGCAGCAAAACTGGTATCCGCACGAGACAAACCGGTGCTTGGTGGCGACGGGCACCCCCGACACCTGCCCTTGCGTGTTTCGGCCCCAGCACAGCGTTTCGTACTTGCTCGTAATAGCGCACGTGTGAAAGCCCCCCGCGGCCACGAGCAGGTACGTCAAGTCGGGCACGTTCAGCTGGCGGTCGTCGTTGAACCCCCAGCATTTGATGCGCCCCGTGGTTTTCAAGCTGCACGCATGCATGCCTTTGGACGACACCATGACGAACGCATCTCGAGGGGCGGCAAACGCACCGCTGATAAAGTTCCCCGTGGTGTCAATCGCAAGCGACGAGCATGTGACCGACCCCGTCACCCGCAGCGCGCACATCAAGTCGTACACCAACGAGGCGGTGATGTCCACTGCGTTGGTGATCGCAGACGCGGGCCCTCCGAGGTTGGTCGCGCCCCAACACACCGCTTGGCCCGACGCCGTGACCCCACATGTGTATTGGTTGCCGGCAGACGCCACTTTTCGAAACTGGTACGATGTCAGGTTGAGACTGGCAGATCCGTCGTTGTCCTGCGGAGGTGGAAACGTAATAATGTCGTCTCTGACCGAAGATGAATTGGAATACGTAGTGTTGAAAGGTGCCAAGTCGGTGGATTCCATGACTTCATCGGACGATACAGAAGACGTGTTGCGAATGCAGTACCCGACAGATTTGGGGCGAAAGCCAGGCGTCGGAACCATCGAGGACAAGGCGCCATAGCACGACAACGTTCCGCCGGTGTTGGTCGCTGGGTTGATGGCGGTGACACCACAAACTTGACGCGTGCCAAGCGCGAGTCTGGTGAAGTTGACATTGACGGGGAGTCCCATGTAGGCGATGCGATCACCCCAACATATTGCCGAGCCGTTCAAGAGCAAGCCACACGAAAAGGCCCCGGCTCTGGAGGTGCCGACAAAGGAATACTGACCTGGCGGCACGGCAGTGAAGTTCATCGTGGGCAGGTCGCGTCCCCAACACATGGCGTTGTTGGCCACAGACACCGCGCACGTGTACCTGTCCCCTGCAGACACTTGCACGTACTTGATCGTCGTGTTGGGGGGGTCGCATTCTCCGTTGTCGCAGTTGCCCCAGCATGCCAACCGCTGGTCTGGAAACGAAACAGCACACGCGTGGCGAAATCCCGTAGACACGGACAGGTACTGTCCAGCGGGGGGGCTGGACTGGTTGAAGTCGTTGGCCCCCCAACAGCGCAACGCGCCAGTCAGTGTGACGCCACATGCGTGAAGCGCCCCTGCTGAGATTGAGGCCATGGGCTCAGCCGGAGTCGACACGACACTGAGGGGGGAGTTTGCCCGGGCTGTGTAGTTGGCCCCCCAGCACTGGGGGAAACCCGTAGAGTTGAGGGCGCAAGTATGGTAGTCATACGCAGACACTTGTACAAACGACATCGCAGATGGCACGGTGCTTTGTCCAAAGTTGTTGAGGCCCCAACACGTCATTGCATTTTGGGCGTTGATCGCACACATGTGGTAGAATCCGATGGACATGGGTCTGGCTTGAGTCCATGAGCAAGGCAACAGCGTCAATGAATTGTTTGCCGTGGAGTTGTCAGCTACGACATCAGCAAGCACTCGAACCGACGATGATGATGGGGGATTCATGAGGTTATAGTCGCACGATTGGGACCGCAGGTGTACACGAATGGAAGATACGGTCACTGGAACGTGCCATTGCCGCTTGTCGACGACCAAATCGTAGGTCGTTGCTGGCGCCAACGTCTTGGCAAAGAAAGACGTCGAGTCTAGTGACATGGATTCAACGTGCAATTTGTACCCTGACGAAACTTTTCCCCAGTTAGTCGTATGCAGCTCAATCCCGGCATGCTCGACTGGATGGGACAGTGTCAGAGAGATGCGGGAGGCGGCGTGCCAATCGGACGTGACACGGGCCGACACTGCCGGACACTCTTGCGTGTGGTTGAGTCGACGAGACTGGTCGGGGCTTGATGGAGAGAGATTGGTTGTACCCTTGGTGGTGGTGATATACAGCCACATGAGTGCGGCTGTGGCGGTCGATAGTGCCAAGGCAGATGATGGCCAACGCGCTTTAGACATGACGTGCGCGACGCTGCGGCTGTTGAAGACTGCTGCACTACCACCACACCATGCAACGTCCAATCTCATCATGTTGCTCGCACATACATGGTGCACCTCCGACGGTGAAACCGTCTTTGAAACGGCCGTAGGCAGCTCTCCTGCTCAAGTATTTTGCGCCAAATTCCAAAATATGCTGCCAAAATAGACCCATTTTGTAAAAAAGATGCCATATATATATCCCATCCTGTACTTGCACTTATGCTTTCGTGGTTGAGTAAAGTGAAGTATGCAGGACGAGAAATGTCAGGTGATGAGATGGAGATTGCTACGGATGGTTTCAGTAACTTTCAAGCCCTTATTACTCACGTACACGTGTGCAACTCATTCGAATCGACGTTGATAGGCGAGTCTGGCCTGTGAATCTTTAGCTCCATCGATCGATCCACTAACTAGTAGATAGACTAACATTAGTTGACATCTCTACGTCTTCAAGTTGGCTCTTCTACGACGACTTCACGTTGGCCTCTCGAAGGTCGCGATGGGTTGTACTGACGTTATCCACGGCCGCTTGAAAGGCGTCAACGAGCAGTTTGCACGCAGTCTCGACATGGTTGGCCGTGTGGTTCACGTTGAGGGTGAAACGCACCGTGGCGAGTGGCACTTCGGTCAACGTGTTGGGCTTCAAGTAGGGCGACACGACTGCGAGTCCCCTGGCTTTGGCTTCTTGCACGACGCGGCGGCACACTTGCGCTGTCCGTTCCTTGCTTTCATCTCCTGCTACACGAACATGCACGACGGGGGAGATCGGATCGCTGAGTACATGCAGCCCTGGCACAGCCGACAAGAGGCCGTGGGCTTGGACAGCGCGCTCTCGCAGCAACTTCAACAAGCCCGGCTCGCGCTTGAGGATGCGGATGGACTCGGACGCAACCGCGGACGTGTACGGCGGAGCGGACGCTGAAAATACGTAGCCGGCGCTGTTGATGCGCTGGTAGTCGACGACGTGCTGGGAGCCAGTGCTGAACCCGCCGACGCCGGCCAGCGTCGTGCTCAATGCGCCGCAGAGGATGTCCACGTCGTCCACGCTCATGTTGAAGTGCTCCGTGAGTCCTTTGCCGGTGGCGCCGAGCACCCCAAAGCTGTACGTTTCGTCGAGGAACAAGCGGAAGTAGTGCGTCCGGCAGAGCTCGACGACCTTGGGCAGCGGCAGAAGCGCCCCCGAGTTGCGGAACAGGCCTTCCGTGACGATGTAGCGCCGCTGGGCGTCCGACGCGCGGTTCGCATTCTTGTCGGCGGCACGCACCGACCGCAGTACGCGCTCCAGATCGGCCATGTCGTTGTGCTTGTAGAAAAGCGTCGTGCAGCGCGCGAGGTTGACGCCGATGAGGATCGCATCCGTCACGCCCTCGTCCACGACGATCAAGTCCCCGCGCTTGGCGTACGCGGGCAGCACTGACGAGCACGTCGCTTCCAAGTCGGAGAATGTGATCGAGTCCGTGGTCCCGATGAACGTCGCGAGATCCTTTTCCAAGATCTCGTGCGTGTCGATCGTGCCGTAGAACCCGCGGGGTCCGCACGATCCACAGCCATATTTGGTCAACGCCGCACGCGCCACGGATTTGATCTCGGGCCGCGCCGCCAACCCCAGAAAGTCCACGGTCGCCATGTTAAGCAGGGGATCTTGGATTCCCTGGAGCTTGATATGGCTAGACGGAGTGGTTTCGACAATGCCAATGAACGGTGGTCGGTCCGCAGTCGGCGCAAACGTGGCGGGCACGAGTGGTTCCGGGGCCCATTCGTCGCAAAGCGCTTGGATCTCCTTCTCCGTGAGCTTCTCGCCCGTTTCCCCCTTTGGTCGCGACGAGCTCTTCTTCACGAACGATATGTACAAGATGAAAACGATCAGAAATGTCTCGATGATCACGTGTTCGGGGCTGCGATCGTAGATGGTCTTGATGTAGTTGTGGTATGTCCATGGAATTCGCTCCACGACACGCCACATCTCCGCCACGTCCTTCGATGCATACGCGTCCACAATGGGCTGCGCGTTCGCAGTCCACCATTCCCCCCACCACGACATGTTGTACTCGCTCATGCTTGTTCTACGTCGGTCGACAGTACTCGTAGTCGGTCCACGACGCTGGGATCCGCAACAAAGTCGGAAGATGGGGTTGACGCAAACGGGAGAGCAATGGTAAACCAATTTGATTCGCTAAAATACTTTCAATTAACAGCCAATACAATGTAGTACTCTGGAAGATCGCAAAATGACTGTCCAAAGTTATCAGGTCCAAAAAATACTCTGTTTTGTGTGTGATACTCAAAATAATACACTGCTGTACTATTTATAGTAGTAGTCCAGTACTATTGTACGTAGGACATATACTATTCACAAGCTTGAATTTATAATTCCATTCCCCCCCAACTGCTAACCATGAAGAGCGCGGCATGGCACGCATGGTAATACATGCTTCCTCGTGATAGTAGACATCGATGTCGCGAAGAGTGGGCAGTACAAGTACTATTAGTACATAATACTAATAATATGCACGAGTAATAGGCGGTAAGGCCCAGGTTATCCCACACGAGACGGGGGGGAGTTGCAAGTCTACACCAAGTAGGGGATACTGCCTCGACAGTGGCTTATTCTGCGCCTTGATACTCACTCGTTCTCAACGGCACGTTGGGCTTGCAGCGAAAGATCGTAGCTTCTTCATTTAATCTAATAAATTATAGTATCAAATATTAGAGGGTATGTATGCAATGTGAGAGGTCGAGATCTCACAGGATGTGAATAGACGCGGTGGCGGTTTCATGGAATCCCAAGGTTGGAGCAGCACTGGTATCTCGACACTTGCTGAACGAAGCTAAGTCATGTCATCAAGCACCACATCCATCGAGGAAGCTACAGGGGTGGCAGCGGCTGTTGCTGTGGGAAATGACGACGCTCGCTTAGGCACCCACAGCTTTGTCGTGTCGGGCACCACTTTCCAAGTGGACTCAAAGTACAAGTTCATCAAGCCCATCGGGCATGGAGCCTACGGCGTCGTCATGTATGTCGTGCCTTCATCGGCTCGTGTCTCCCCCTCCCATCTCATTTATTTACATACATGCTGGTGTTCGTTTCAGATCGGCGCAAAACACCGAGACTGGCGACAAGGTGGCCATCAAGAAGGTGTCCAAAGCATTCGAAGACCTTATCGATGCGAAGCGCATCTTGCGGGAAATCAAACTGCTCCAGCATTTCGACCACGAAAACGTACGTATACACTCGACACAAGGCGTCCCGTCGATCGATAGTGCTGACCATGAAGACGAACAAATGCCCACGTTGTAGATCATTACGATTGTGGATCTGTTGCCGCCACCATCCCTTGCGCTCTTTGAAGACGTGTACATCATCTCAGATCTCATGGAAACGGATTTGCACCGCATCATCTACTCCCGTCAGCCGCTCAGCGACGACCACATCCAGTACTTTTTGTACCAAGTACGTTCGTGCGCACGATCCTTTCGTCGTATGTCTCTCATCACCATGTCTGCGATATCGGCAGATTTTGCGCGCGCTCAAGTACATCCACTCGTCCAACGTACTCCACCGCGACCTCAAGCCATCCAACCTGCTGCTTAATTCGAACTGCGACCTCAAAGTGTGTGACTTTGGCCTGGCGCGGTAAACCACTCATCCTGCTCATCACGTCATGACGTTTGTGTTGGATAGGGGCGTCGAGCCCGACGAAGACAACATGGAATTGACAGAGTACGTGGTCACGCGCTGGTACCGCGCGCCCGAGATCATGCTGTCGACCAAGGTAGGGTGGTGACAACTATGTTTGTCTCTATGGTCAAAATTCTGAATGCGAGTATGAAATGTATGTAGGAATACACGAAAGCCATCGACATTTGGTCCACGGGGTGTATCTTTGCCGAGCTGCTCGGGCGCAAGCCCATGTTCCCTGGCGACGATTACATCCATCAGCTGCAGATCATATGCGACAAGTTGGGCACGCCCACTGAGGACGAGCTTCACTTTGTCACAAGTGAAAAGGCAAGCACAACCAACCAACCAACCCCATGTCCCCACTCAAAGCGCCAAGAAACGTGCGATGTGTTTAGCATGCTAACTGGAGCATGTATGTAGGCAAGACGGTTCATGAAGAGCCAGCCAAACAAACCCAAGATCCCCCTCGACAGACTCTTTCCCAATGTCAAGCCCAATGTACGTACGAACCATGGCATAAGAGTGATTGGGTCATGTAGGCGCTCGACTTGTTGGACAAGATGCTCGTGTTTGATCCGTCCAAGCGCATCTCCGTGGAAGAGGTAGATGCTCGCGGGACCAACTGGCCTAAGTGTGTGGTGGTCGTAGGCGTTGCAGCACCCGTACTTGGAATCGCTGCACAACAGCGACGACGAGCCCAAGGTACAAGTTCGTGCATACACTAGTCGTTCATATGTTTGGAGATATAGTTTGAACCCATGTGCATAGTCGACCAAGCCGTTTAGCTTTGAGTTTGAAAAGGAAAACTTGACCAAGCGACGGCTCCAAGAGCTCATTGCCGAGTGAGTGTGCTATCGACAAGGATGATGTATGTATAGTTACTTGTTTGACTGACCACGTTGTGGTGGTGTTAGGGAGGTGTGTCATTTTCATCCCCATTGGCGCGATCAGCGTCAAGCGACGTCGTCTCCTGACTTGAAATTGGCCACCAGCAGTGGCAGTCCTGACGCTCTTGACGGGTATATATATATATATATCATCCACAACAGACCCGACCAGCACTCGCAATTGGATTCCCCATCGTGTACATGTAATATGTAGGGTCAATGCCTTGGACGATTGTTAGTCACCACACTCACGTGGCAACTGCACATTGCATTCGATCGATCGTTTGTTCGTTCGACCCTTGAAGTGGTGGTGGATTCGGCCGTGTATTGTCTTTTATATAAAGCACACACAAAACCAAGTCTATTTTGTGTTAAAGTAGTTGGTCCACGGACCACTGCCTTTGGCGTAAAAATCCATCGGATACGCGTCGTCTTGCCACGTCATACCAGCCAAACACACTTCTGCTTCGTACGCGGTGAGCAGTGGCTACGCAGCAACAGACACTTTAGAATCCGTCGTCGCATATCATAAATTGCACCGTAAGCAACACGAGAGAGAGAGAGATTCAGAGGGGTATATCGTGGATTCGGTACTGCAGATTGCACCCCCTCCCCGAATTTGTATCAAATCGACAATATTGTTCATATTGGTGAATTCAATTTTGAGTGGATTTGATTGGCTCTTATAGAAATATATTTAACCAATCAGAACTCCAGCGTGATTCAATATTGAAATTAGCGAATTTTGCAAGTTTGTAGCGAATTCACAATATATTGTTGTGTTTATTCTAAACTGGAGCAAACATGGAGAAACACGAATCGCCACAACCAAGATATATGTACAGAAGGATATAGCCAATCAGATTGCAGGTAACCATCAAAACAACGTCAAATTAGTGTGTAAATTCAATTAGTGTTCTACCAATCACGCCAGGACACTATTTTACATACAAAGTCAGTACAAAGAAGATATCGATCGATAGATTTGGCGAATCGGCACAACAGTTCAAATTTGGGGTAAAAGAAATACAATACCAACCCTATGCGTAAGTACAGTACCTTGGTAAAGGCATAACCCCAATCAACAGACAGCCGAGGACATGCTACTTGAATCCACGCGTCGACTTCGTGGAACAGGGCCAGCTACACGAGAGAGAGGGAGAGGAAAGATGAATGAATGGATGATTGGCCTGCTTGTAATCAAAAGACGCACCTTGTCAGGGAAGATTTCCGACAGCAGCAGCGTAAAGTACGTTTTGCCGCAACTGTCCAACATCGACGTGAGATGGTTCAGGATCACGGGACTGCCTTGGCGTCCCAGCGTGCCCATGATAATGCCAAACGTTTGCGCCGACTTGGCTCGGTCGATCGCTTCTCTACCATATATTTGTCGTTGATCTGCATCAAGAAAATATATAACACGACGCAAAAATACAATGATAAGATGCAATCCAAAATCTCAAGTAAGTATACAGTTCGAATATTTAAACAAACATTCTATCAAATTTAGTGGATTGCATATGGTCTAAGTACGACAAATATCGACATCGGTCGTCGGATGCGTTCATACCACATGCAAAGACAAGTGGTTGGCCAACACTATAAACAAAAAACGAGAAGTTGGTTCATACTTACTTTCGAATCGAGACCATTTGGGGCAAGTCGTAGCTTTCACATGATAGGACTTTGGGGTACGGGTCGTAGCGGAACGCTTTCACGGATGGGTTGGCGATCATGGCCGACTACGACGATCCAAGATTATGAGGGTTTTCACGAGTATAGTATGGATCACTAGTAGGCGGCCCACCTCGAGATGGAAGCGTCCGTCGGCAACAAACACCAATGCATCGCGGTCGGGGAATTGCGGCGACGTGCAGCCCAACACTTCGCCAGGGGACAGAGGCTTGGCTTGGGGCACGACGATGTCATGGAAATGATGTTTGAGCTCCGTGACGGCCACGTGCATGGCTGTAGCAAACTGAATCGTGCCCATGAGTGCTAGCTACACGAGTACATGTTATGACTGCGGTCGAAATGGGGCTAGTTGGGGTGATGGTGTAGTACCTTGGTGTGTTGTGGAAACGTAAGTTTCATGCACTCCACCAACTACATTCCCAACATTCTTAGCGACAATGGGAGCTATTATTGAAGGCATGCATGCACACGTACGTGGGAGACGTCGATCGTAATGTCCACAAACACATATAGCATCTTGATTGTCGTCACATCGATGGGCACCAAGCAACTGTGCCCGTAATGCACCATAAAGTCCGCGCCCAGCGCTTTCGCCGTCAAATCGTCCACGCAACAAGCTCCATACGTCACCTACCATGTATTTGTGTACGTTGTCAACTGGACAAGAAACATGGCGGCCTGCTGTTCTTCGCATGATCGCGTGGTAGACTTACATCACCCATGATGATGGATGTGGCGCCGGCAAAGCGCTCGAGGATGTCCGAGATCACGCATGCATACAGCAGCAATCCTTCGGGGAATTGAAGGGCCACGCGCTTGGCGCCAGCCTACAGCGGAGCATGAACGATCGACGTGGTGGTGATGTCGTCATCTACTTGTTTGATCTTCCAGATCGTCTTGCGGATTTCAAAGTTGTAGTTCCACGGAAGCTGTTCGATGGCCTTGGTGAGCTGGGGGTCGTTTTGAATCTCGTCTGGGATTTGGTTGGCCATCTTGCGGCGTTGGGCTGCGGCCGAAGGTTTGCGCTTCACCAACCTGTTGCCACCATCAGTCCATTACTCCAAGAAGCATTGAGCAATGTACTTGGTCTCGGTGGCACACGCTCCTCCCTCACATCCTTCTTGTGCGCACGAAGATGAGTTAGCATCGGGCTTTCGACCGCTGAATCGTCGAGGCACAACCACGTTGGCGGCGTCGGACTCCATGATTTCAACTTTGAACACCGCGATTACAATTATCCGGATATCCGTCTACTATTGGTTGGAAGTCCAATCCAAACGCATGATTCTTGGGGTTAAATATTAAGCCAATCCAAGCCCAAGTTGAGTTAAATTGACCAATCCGATTAGTGCATTCTACGGGTATTTTGACCAATGACAACCACATGCTATACCATAAGGATCTTCGACAGTCGTTTGTCCGCTGGGTGCGAGAGAGCGTGGTAAGGGCAACAGCACCTGCCATCTTGCTGACGCGATGAACTCTACGGGTGATATATGGCATGTCGACTACACACAGAAGAGACTGGAGCAGGCAGCGCAAGGGTGGAGCAGCATCGCCCTTGTCTTTAGCGTCAACTGCTGCATGTTTGCCGTGGCGTGCGTCCTGTTTCGGTTATCCCGGAGCAGTCGCACAAGTCTCTTCTTCATGGGCGCGACAAACTCCAACTTTGCCGCGTATCCGTTCAACCAACCACACATGACAGAATGGCAGCACTTCGTGGCGTTCCTATCCACCCCGAACGACGTGTCGTCGCTCCAACAAGCCGTCGGCGACGAAGGTGCGTTCTACCTGACGTTCCAAGTGTACGCGCTCAAGATGGTGCTGGCCATGACTGCGTTTGCGTTCCTCGTGCTCATTCCTACGTACGTGCTGTGCGCACCGACGTCATTGGCGGCCTTCAGCACCATGACCATTCGCGCCGTGCCGGACAAGTCGCCCTTACTCTGGGTGTCCGTCGCGAGCTGCTACGTGTTTTCGGCCATGTATGCGATCTTCCTCACGCAGTTGGGTTATCTGTGCAACAACAAGGACCCGACCAACACGAATCTGCTGTGCATGATCCCGTCGGAACTCAGTGCCAAGACCGTGCTCGTCGATGCCGGCGCGCCCAAGTGCATGTCTCCTGAACGCACGTTCTACCTCCTTGATCAAGTACCTATACATAGTTCCCATTCATTCATGCATTCATTTACTCAATTGGTACTGACGTTGGCTTAGATCTTCCCAGGATTGATCTCTCATGTGGCCGTCGTGTACGACTTGACCGAGTACAAGCGCAGCCACACGATTCGCATTGCCAACGAAAACACCGTCGACCGCCTCACGCTGCTCCTCACTCGAAAACATCGAGGAACGTTGCCATGGTATGTTCACCTGTTTCACGAGCCTCGGTCGTACCTCTCGACGACGTCGCTGGCGTCGCAAATCCAATCGCTGCAGCGGGATATAGACAAGCGCCACAGCCATGAGATCCGCTCCATCCAGAGCATTCTGACCACCCACCGCGGCACCGGCCGAGTATTTATCATCTTCAACGACCCCAAGGCCAAGGCGCGGTTCGTGCGCAAGATCCAGCGGCGGTCCACGACCCACCTCGTCGCCCGCACGCCCAAGCAGCATCACGCCACTCGTAAGAATTTGTCGATTGGGCTACTACTTCTACTGCTTGACGAGTAATGTATATGGCAGTTCGCCAAAAGATTCACGAACTGTCGTTGCTGTCGTGGCACCTGGAGCTGGCCCCCGAACCCGACGACCTGGACTGGCACTTTATCTCGTACCATCGCGCCAAGCGCACGGCGTTGACGGCGCTCATCTACACGTTCTTAACCGTGTTCATCGTGCTGTTCACGTCGCCGCTCGCGGTCACAAGTGCGATTGCCTCTGGGACATATGCAGGTACTGTATGTAGACTGTGCTACAGCCAAACGTACACGAAACGTCAGGATGCCTCGATGATATTCACGTCATATCCTTCTTTTGGATGGTTGTTTCTGGAGTTTGATTGGCCACTTGAGGAGAGTATGGTGGCTTTGGATTGGTCAGTCGATTGCGATTTGGGTTTGTGTCGTTTGCAAATGTTATTAGTACTATTTTAATAGTACTAATAACATTTGCAAACAGAATTGATAGTAGTTATAGTAGTTATCGTACTATTAAAATCGTACGATAATTACTATCAATGTCTGTCAAGTACATTAGTACTAGTATATAATACCAGTAGTAGTGGTTGAATTCACAGTCAATACTATGGAGAACTAACATGTATCATTGTACAGGCACGGCCAAGTCGTTGAATGACTTGGTGATGCAAACCAAGGAATGGGCGGCCAATTTGTCTCCGGCCATGGCCAACGTCACGGCGTCGTATGTCCCTACCATGATGTACGACTCTCGTTCGCTCGTTCGTGGTGTTGCTAGTATGACAGAGCGCCACGTCATCGTCTGATCTAGACTGGTCATGATCAACGCCGTGCTACTCAACGTGATTTTGCACGCGGGACGCATGCAACCAAAGTGCACCGACTCGGCCAAAGAAAAGAGCATTTTGCACTACAGTGCCGTGTGTACGTGGACTATATACTTACATAGTATATATATATATCACTTTTGAAGGTCAATCATGATACATGCGGATCCTGGTAGATTTGATCTTCAACACACTCGTCGTACCGAGTTTTACCTTTGTGTCGATCAACGCGCTGCTTCAGCACTTTATGGGCCAAGGCCAGCAGGTACTTAGTCGTACCGGACGCATGATCTGCCATTGTCACTGTCGAATGTAGGTCCTCGAGATGTTTGAAATGCTATTTCTCAACAATTCGGGCGTGTTCTTCGTCAACTACGGTAACGTTATATTGAGTTTTCAATCAAAAGTCTAGAGTCTTGTGAAGTCGCTATTCGTGTGGTGGTTTTCTAAGCAATATTGAATCACGCTGGAAGCTCTGATTTGGCTGACTGACGGATTATAAGGGACACTTGCTACTTCGAATGTGCCATTTCATCGGAAATGATTGGTTGAATAACTTCGAACTTCGATGGAAATCTCAATCTTTAGCCAATCACATAATGATTTTCACAAATTCAAATCTTATTGGCTATAATAATATTCTGGGCTTCCATAAAACTTCGGTGTCCCTTAAAATCTGTACTCGTCATTCCTTTGGGTCAGTAGTGTGATTGAAAGAGCCAATCAAATCCACCCTAAAAAATGGATGAGCCAATAGCGTCGATTCGTGATTCGATTCGACGGGGTCTGGAAATTTGTACCGAATTCACAATACTGTTATAGTATTGATTTGGTACGAATTTCCAGACCCTGTTCAATCGAATCACGCCGACGAAACCGATCACAAATCGCTCCCATTGGTGGTCAATCTGAAATTACTCTTCTCTGATTGGCTACATTCTTTTTTCTTTGTGCTTTTTGGGAAACCCACCACCGCGGCGAGATATTTGGTTTTACAAATCACGCAAAATTGGGAAATTTGTAGCAAATTTATAATCTTGATATGGTCGTTCGTAGTCATTCAACGCGCGTTTGTTGGGACGGCCGTGGCGGCGCTGCGACTGTCCGAGGTGCCAAATCAACTGGTTTTTTAGTTTTGGTTCCTCCATATCGACATATTGTTGCAGGCAGGCCAAATGTGGTGGAAAGTCATGCGGGCTATGACCACCGCAGAGTACGACGACGCCGTCCGACCTTGGAATTTTTACACGGGCACCCAGTCGGCCCTACAAATCAGGTTTAAGCCACACAATCGACTATGAAAGAACCTCACTTGTTTTGCTTTCTTTGGTAGTGTGCTGGTGGTGATTGTCGCGTTCAGTACGGTCGTGCCTGTGATTTTGCCGTTTGGAGCGTTCTACTTGAGTGTGCAGCACGTCGTGGACAAGTTGGTCGTGCATGTTTATTCGAGGATCTCAACCAACTAACTCATGACGGAATATGATAAACAATGGTTAGATACGCGTTGCTGTACGTTCGCCCCAAGATCAAGGGCAAAGGCGCCATTGCCGCGACGTCCACCCACGCGAGTATGTTTGCGCTGGTCATCTACCAATGCGCGATGGCTGGGTTCTTTCTGGTTCGAGGCACATGGCATCAAATCGCGGCGGTGGTCGCGCTCTTGGTCGTGTCTAGTGTGTTCATGCTTTGGCAGTACATTCGAGACAAAGGCCAGCTGTACCGGGCGGTGGGCCAGCCGTACAAACCCGAGCAGACGATGCTGCTCAGCCCAAATTCTAAATGTGTCGACATGTACCGCGACCCAGTGCTGCGGCTGTTGGATGCCACGACGAGGACCCAGAGCGAGCGGTATGGGTCGATTGTGTTGCCGTAAACACATTCTGGCACGGCCATAACTCGAATACATTTCTGTGCTTTGACACATGGTAGATATTTCTAGGAATAAATATATATACAACAAAAACGTAAATTAGAAAAAGTTACAATTATAGTTTTTTTTTTTCGTTATCCTACACGCGGCCAGGCACGACAGATTTGAATCGCAACATGCCATTTTCAAGCCACACAATTGTGGGCAAGTCGTCCACCTATAATTTTTATCGTATGAATAGCGTTAAATATTTCAACGCAATCTTGAACATATTCCCATGAAAGATATTTCTATCTCTAAATTCACTCCTAGTACAGTACGTATATATTTATATATATGTATATATATATATGGGAAGAGTGTTTGCGTACCACTTCGCCCGATTCACGAGATTCCAGTGCATCGCACGTTGTAAACGTATCAGCGATGGATATCAGCTCGGCATCGAACCTCTGGGCGTATACCTACGACGATATATCAATGTGAATGCACCAAATTAAATGGGTGATAAAAACAGTGACTTGGTACTTTAGCATGGGAATTTCCTCCGATGCCAGCGAGGGCGCGACCTTTCAGCATCCCGTAAATGTGAATGTCGCCGTCGGCCAACACTTCTGCGCCAGAGTTCACCGACCCCATCACCACGAGCCCCTGGCCTTTGGCATAAATCTGTTGCCCTGTCCGCACGGAGCCTTCGACTACCATCATGCCACTAAGTGCATGTGTCGGCGTTGTAGTCGCGTTGTGGGGAAGGTCCTGATCGGCTGAGGGAATGACCTTCGAGTACGCTTCCTCTGTCACCGCGGCATACTCGGCCGTTTCATCACCCTGTGACACAGTTGAAACGGCAATCCACCGCTCGCCATCGATGTTGTCGTCGTCGCTCAAACGTGTGCCCATGATGCTCGGCACTTGCAACGTACGCCACGCCATGGCCTTGACGTCTTCGCTCGCGTTTGTGATGGCTATGGGTACGAGATTGGCATCCTTTAACGAACGAAAGAGCGCCTTGAACTCGGTTGGTTTGATCGGAGACGTGTGAGGTGACCCGTTCGAGCTCACGTTCGCCAAGTCGATGACCACCGGGCCGCGCAACGTCCAATTGGACTTGGCAGCTGCCACTATGGCCTTCATGTCGTACTCGCCATTCACGCGTGTCGGGGAGTTCAATCTTAGTGTAGGAACGAGGTAAGCTCCACCAAGGACTTGTAGCCCAGAGGCTACAGCGGCGACGACGACGGGCTTCACGCCTTGCAACTTGCGAGCCATGTTCAACCCCGCCATCACACCAAATCAACACCGTCATCAAGTGCTTAGCGTCATCCGCATATTGTGTTATCCGGCGGCAATCGTTTGATCCATAATAATACCACAATCGCATTTAATTACCTATCAATTTGTATGTGACTACAGTTGGTCTCAAGTATAAAAAACTGACGCAGGTTGCTATTGCAATCGCACTGGCGAGAAAGACGCCAATCGCTGTTTCGTTCTTATTCGGATCCGGATAAGGACCATGTTCCAGCCGCACAATAATAAAATGATCAAATCCATATACAAACACCAAGATAAATGTGTTTTAATGTGTTTTGTCGACCTCAGATACGATTCTCCTTCTCCGACGCTCTTTCAACTGCCACTTTTCGATTTGCTCGCTGCCGCTCAGATCATCATGACGTTCACGCTGCCGGAACTCAAGTACGAATACAACTCGCTGGAGCCGTTCGTGGACACCCAAACCATGAACATCCACCACACCAAGCACCACCAAGCGTACATCAACAACATCAACAACTACATTAACACGGTGCGTGCGTGCGGCTTGTGTAATCACGAAAAGGACGATACTGACGACTGCGTGTAGGCCCAAGGTGAGGAATTGAAGACCAAGTCCATCTTGGAAGTCGTCAAGACTGCGACCGCCCCTGCTGTCCGCAACAACGGCGGTGGACACTACAACCACAGTTTGTTCTGGACGTGGATGGCCGCCCCCGGCTCCACCAACACGGCCCCTCATGGTAACTTGAAGGCCCGCATCGAACAAGATTTCGGATCCGTGGACCAGTTGAAGGAAAAGTTCAACGCTGCCGCGTCCACCCGCTTTGGCTCTGGCTGGGCGTGGTTGGGCGTGCGTGCCGACGGTACCCTCGGCATCACCTCCACCCCCAACCAAGGTACTTTGAAAATAATGCAAGGAATGCATCTAAAGTTGTGGCTGTTACGTAGACAACCCGTTGATGCCCAACACGGAAGACCCCATGATTCCCATCCTTGGGTTGGATGTGTGGGAACATGCGTACTACTTGAAGTACCAAAACCGCCGCCCCGAGTACATCTCTGCGTTCTGGAACGTGGCCAACTGGGACAAGGTCGTGGAATACTATGACCAATTCGCTTCCAAGGGCGAAGCCGTGCCCGTCTGAGGCGCGGATCCCAAGTTGCTTGTGTCGTCGTTGTGATGATCATGTAGCTAGCTTTCTTGAAAATTGCTGTTTGAATACGTATGCCCCATGGGTCTCTTTGCTACATATACACGCCGGAAGTTGGAACCAACCAGTTGGGCCATCGAGAGCTTTTCACCCCATCATCATCAAATGACGGCCTTGCTAACATTGACAGTGAAGTCACAAAACAACGTTTTATCCAATCATTGATGGCTTCTCCGGAAGCGCAAGCATTGATTGGTCAGTCGAATTCTAAATTCAATATTATATCCAATGAATACCTTGCATGCCATTCGAAGGAATGCACCGCTTGGCTGTAAACGTCCTTCGCCGTCATCCATCATGGATGACTATCCCTCACCGTGCCTTCAGCGTAGCCAACTCACCCAGCACCCTCGAGCGCATTTGCATCGTTGGGTCAGGGCCCGCTGGCTTCTACACAGCAAAGTACCTCTTGCATGACCACCCCACCGTCCACATTGACATGCTTGAAGCGCTACCCACTCCCTATGGTTCGTACATACTCGTCATACTTCCTCTTCAAGATAACATCCGCGTGGTCCAGGTCTCGTTCGTTCTGGTGTCGCACCTGACCACCCCGAGGTCAAGAATGTCATGCATGACTTTGAAAAAGTCGCCGCCGATCCTCGCTTCTCGTTCCTCGGCAACGTCGACGTAGGAAACGACATCACCGTGCCAGAGCTCCAGCGGTACTACAACGCGATCGTCGTGGCTGCGGGGGCGTCCGACGACCGCAAGCTCAATATCCCCGGTGAAGACGAACTCACGGGTGTCCTCGCGGCTCGGTGCGTCGTCATAGTATCCATGTTAAAGAACGTCATCTCACCCTCTCATGTAGGTCGTTTGTGAATTGGTACAATGGCCATCCGTCCTTCCGCAACTTGCATGTGCCTCTGGACTGCGACACCGCCGTCGTTGTCGGACAGGGCAACGTTGCCGTGGACTGTGCCCGCATCTTGACCAAAACCCGCGACGAGTTGGCGGCCACAGACATTTCCCAGCACGCGTTGGACGCATTAGCCGCCAGGTACTTGCCGATCATGTAGTTGAACTGTCATCGCCGACCTTTCCGATTTAGTGGCATCAAGACTGTCTACTTGGTGGGCCGTCGCGGCAGTGCACAAGCAGCCTTTACCATGAAAGAGCTCCGGGAAATCACCAAGTTGCCGCACACGGACTGCATTGTCGACCCCAACGAGCTCGCTCAAAGCATGAACGACGCCTCCGCCGAGGAAATCCAGTCGTCGCGCCCTCAGCGCCGCATCCACGAACTGCTAAGTACGATACCATAAGACCATATATAGCAGTCTTTCATTCTCATGGTAGCTACGGTGGCATCCAGACCATCGGGTGGCCACCCCAGTGCCATTCGAATTCGTTTTCTCTTGTCCCCCGTCGAACTCTTGCCCAGTGCTAGCGACCCATCACGGTATCAATACATATATATATATACATCCCTAGACCCCCCCCTCTATGGAACTGTCTGTACCCCTTGAAGCGATCTGAGCTCGTGTTTGCACATGAGGTGTCCCATGTTGTTCCCTAACCAACTCTCGGGGGCGGGTCGATTTATAGAGTCGGCGCCATCAAAGTCGAAAGGAACGTGCTCCAAGGCGCGCCGCATCACCAGCGCGCCGTCAGGGCGGGCGCGTTTGAAACCATTCCGTGCGGCCTTGTGCTTCGTAGCATCGGGTACAAGTCCATCCCGTTCGCGGGGGTGCCCTTTGATGTCAAGCGCCATGTGATTCCCAACGTGGCCGGTCGCGTGACTGCGTCGGCGTCCCCCGACGCGCCCGTGGTGCCAGGTCTGTACTGCGCGGGGTGGATCAAGCGCGGTCCGTCCGGCATCATTGGTACCAACATCAACTGCGCAAGAGACACGGTGGCGAGTGTGCTAAGTGATGAAGGGTCGCTGCCCCCGCTGACGTTGCAGCCCGTTGCCGAACTTCATGCTAAGCTGCGCGAGTCGGGGGCTCCGATTGTGGACTGGGACATGTACCGACGCATCGAGGCGGCAGAGGACGCGGCGGGGGCGGCCAAGGGCAAGCCGCGGGAAAAGCTCACGTCCATCGAGGACATGCTGGCTGTGGCCACACAGGGCCACTAAGGCGCGCGCGTGCCATCGGTCGTACGTCGTGGAGTAGAATATCACAACACACTCACCCGGCTGGAACGAAATATTAGTCAAGTCTCGTGCAACTGTTGTTACAACATTATAAAGTAATATAAGGTTGGAAAGTCTTTGGTTTAGCTCTTGCTGTAGATATATATTATTGGACATGTTGAGTTAAAAAGGTGTCAAAATCAAGGAATCGAATACACGGCTACAGATGTACTGCAGTAGCAGCTAGTACAGTCGAAATGTGCTGCGGCGGCGTGGGAGGAACGCCGAGATGGAGGGCCGACTGTTGCCACGCCCTTTGGCAACATGCTGGAGCAAACTCTGGCGCAGCTGCACCACCGACGACGACGCCGACGCCTGGTTCTGGTTGACGACGACGTGGTCGACGATGTCAGGAGTGAGGCGGAAGAACGTGGCCTTCGCATCACCTCGAGCGTATGCGTCGCTTAGATACGTGTTGAGCGGCACGAAGAGGGGGCTCAGCTGACGCGCATGCAGCCACGCATCCAAGTCGGCTGGCGTCCAGTCCCCCCGACGCCCTGCGGCAACTGCAATGTTTCGGCCGGGCGGAGCGCTTTTTGTAGTAGCTGCATCCGTCACAGGGTCGTCTGGCAGGCCAGCGTGACGAAGTTGTTGCTCTTTGGGGGGAGATGGGGGGCTTTGATTCTTGTTGTTCGAGTCGTCGTCGTCGTTCATGTGGTCGTCGAGTTGGTTGTGTCCGCTAGGTGTACTAGTGGTGGTCGTAGATTCGAGAGGTTGCGATGTTGGTTGCTTCGTTCGAAGGTACAGCTCCACGTGGTCCTGCACCGTCGCCATAACGTCGATAACTTTGAGAATGTCTTGGAATGTGTGGAGAAGGGCGTCGCGGGCTCTCTGAGTGGGCATTGCAATGACGACCACATCCCCCCCAAACGACTCGAACGACAGATAATACTGGAGGCTCGAACTGTTTGTACGAGTCCGAGACGAAGAAGTTGCTGCAAAAGGGGGACAGTCGTCTGCACGGACGGCTAGGAGGTGGGCCAAGTGCATGCCGTGCACAGCCGACCCAAACAACTTCTTTTTGCCAAAACACAAGTGCAAGTTGGACGGGTGGAGCCATAATACGACGAGCTGTGATGTCCCATCGGGGCGATGCTCCACCACGGGCACGCCCTACACAGTGTACACCCCGTCAGACTAGGATGCTTAGCGGGAGGTAGAAGTGACGGTGCTAACGTTACCTTGAGCACCAGAGACCACGACGAACACACCGTTTTGGTGTCACCGTCGCTCATCAATGCATCTTGGTCTTCCACGAGACTGCGAGCCAGCCCTGCACACGCACCTTCGCGGCTCTTGAGTGAGTTGGTTAACATGTTCGTTGCTGCTGGTACACAAATCGAGTTGCAACTGTGCGTGCAGCAGTGATGGCCTTCGCCATGGCGTCTATTTTTAGATTACCGGCTTCATTCCCTGATTTCCCAAAATTTTACTAGTACTAGTATATTGTTTAGATTTCTTTGAAATACACCTCTTATTATAGTAATCAAATTAGCACTGGCATTATGTTTATTTTTACCAAGTGCACTGTTACTTTCTCATCACAGATCATTACTGAGCGTTATTTAACACGAAACAAATACACGTGCGAGGAGAAAATTGACATTTCTTAGCGATTTTACATCGATCAGGAACAAGTTTAGTTGTCCTTGTCGGTCTTCTTGATGCCGCGGAGGCGACCAGTACGACGGGCGGCAATGAGACCGACCTTCTTACCGGCAGGGGCATCACGCTTGACAGTCGACGGGTGACCGATGTGTTGATGGTTACCACCACCGTGGGGATGTTCCACAGGGTTCATGGCAACACCACGCACATGGGGCCATTCGTTACGCTTGACGCGGTACTTGTGGTAAGCGCGACCAGCCTTCAAGATAGGCTTGTCGGTACGTCCACCACCAGCGACCACACCCACCATAGCACGGCAGCTACACATTCAGTCAGCTTACATGCACAAGTACGAGGGATGAGATAATAGCATCGATCGATCTATCGACATCCCCACTCAAAATGCCTTTGACGGCAAAGTGATGGGAGATGCGACAACACTTACGCACCGCATCGAGCGGGATACTTACTCACCGCATCAAGCGGGAAAAAGCAGCGAGTTTTGAAAAAAACTCGCCGTCACATCAACCGACGCAACGTCGGGATGGTGTACACAAGTGGCCGCAAAGAGGGAGGTCTTTGGGCACACGGGACTTCACACCGACGAGGGTCGGCTGATGGACGCCACCGTCGTCGGGGGATGAGGTTGCAGAGCGACCGACAACCACAGGAGGAGGCAAGTCAACTTACGCAGAGGGGATGGTCTTCTTGGAGCCGGACGGGAGGCGGATCTTGGTCTTGCCCTTGTCTTCGTCGTGGGTGACGATGACGGCGTAGTCGCCGGAGCAGCGAGCGAACTTGCCCTTGTCGCCGATGCGCGCTTCCACGTTGCACACAATGGTACCTTCAGGCAATTGGGACAACGGCAAGATGTTGCCGACGGCCATGGTGGCCTTCTTCCCGGCGTAGATGAACATGCCGGTGTACATGCCTTCCGCGGCAATCAACAATTCGTGGTTGATGCGGTACTTGTACGGGTCACGGAACGACACGCGGGCCAAGGGCGCACCTCTGCCGGGGTCATGGATGATCTCCTTGATTACACCCTTGATGTATCCCTCGCGTTCGACGTAGTCGTTGGTGCGGAAGGCGGCTTTGCCCTTGCGAGTCTTCACATGCGACTTAAAGATGCCACCGGCACCCTTACGTTGGCCACGAATAACACGACCCATGCTGGATGATAAGAAATGTCAAGTGGTCCTTAGCCAGTCGAATGGCCACGAAACATGCGTTTTCACAGGTTCTCGAACGAAATGACTGGTTTCCACAAAGTATAAACTGTAACGGTTTTATTTTGGAATGGACCTACCGGATGTGATAGTTTATCCGGAACTTGAAGTGTGCTTGGAGCGAGCGCCAAATTTGGTGGCTGGGGGTGACATGGGAGACGTCGAAATGGACTGGACAAGGGTGATTGTGTCCTTGGCCAAGCTACAGTAGTGTGCAAGTACTGTAGCGAAGGTGAACAAGCACCAATGTGAGGGTGCAAACTAACGTTATGCAAAATACTGCTTTGTGTAAAGTGTACTGTACATAGTGTGGATAGGCGAATGGTATGTCGGGGTATGTGGTGTGTTGCCTCGCTTCGTCGGCTTTTGTGCACCAAGCGCACTTTGACCATGTCTAATCCACTCTGAAGTTGTCTGGCACCCGCTGTACTGTTTGTTAACCGCTGCAGATTCCGTATTTCAGAGATTGACAGCAGATGTCCCATGCCACAATGCCCATCAAATACTATTGTGATGTTCTTACTACAGCATTAACGGTTTCTTCGAGCGTGTTTGGCTGTTGTCGGTGGCGACGGTCGCTGCGCCCATCATGACAATATCGAGTACCAACTGATGTTGTTGCGTCATCCACGGATGCGCCAATACTTGCTTGGCCGATGGTCGCATCTCGGGGTCTTTTTGGAGCATGTGACGGATCAAATCCTTGGCATCACTCGACAAATGTTGGCACGCTGCGTGCTTAAATGACACGTGGCCCTTTCGGATGCGACTTTCAATCGTCTTTTCCGGGGCTGTGCCGTCAATGTCGAACGGATGACGACCTGTCAGCACGATGTACAAGATGCAGCCCATGGCCCATACGTCGGCAGCGGGAGTGCACACCCCACCCCGCCGCAGCACCTCCGGTGGCAAATACACAGTCGTACCAATGTCGGTGTCCAGAACTCGCGAGGCCGGCCCCGCGCTGCCAAAGTCGACAAGCGTCGCGGGGTTGTCGTCACGCTTATCGCTAAAGCGCAGGAGGACGTTTTCAGGCTTCAAGTCTTTGTGGACAAGGCCATGGTCGTGCAGGAAAGCGACCCCTTCGACAATGTCCTGCATCATCTTTCGCGCTCGCGGTTCTTCAAACGCGCCGTACCGGACAATGTGCTCAAACAACTCGCCCCCTGAGACAAATTCGGTGACGATGCACGTGTGTCCGTTGTGCTCGAACACGTCCTTCAGGTCCACGATGTTCTTGTGCCCCCCTTTGGCTTTGATTCGCTGCAGTGCATCCAGTTCGCGCTGCATGGACGGTTCCCGTGCGTCTTTTTGCATCTTGATGGCCCCCACTTCCCCCGTCGTGCGACGGATGCCAAGGCGGACGACGCCAAACGCGCCTGAGCCAATCTCGTCTGCCAGATCCCAATCCGCAGCGGTGGTCGTTTGAAACTTTGGGGAAATTATCGGGGGGGGCGGTAAGATGCACGCAGCACGGGAATGGGCAGCATCGGGACTCATCATCACGCCCATGCTTAATGCGGTGGTACCGGCGACGACCACCGCTCCAAAGGGGGAAAGAGGGAGAGGTCGTGGAGAAGATGGACTATGATGTTGCTGTTCCTGGCCCACTTGGATGGGGGCGGGGGCGTGGTGGTGAAAGTGAGTAGGGCGTCCATGACGGGGCGACGACGTAACAAGTCGAGTGGCGATGGCCCGACTCGATCGGGTTATTGAAGCCATGTATGGATATATGGGTCAGTGGATGTTTGGGTCGTGGGGTGCTTGGTTTGTTGTCAACTAGTAGGGCGATGCCGCCAGTAGAAGAAAGTCAGCATGTCGAAGGGGCAAGACAAGCAACGGCATTTGCCGCCAGTGGAACGGTTTCACTATTACACAAATGGACCAATGGCCTTCCTGGAACCAACATGTTGCGATGGCATTGGCTCGACAGGATGCGGTGAAGTCGAACGTAACGAAACGACAAACCAACACGCCGAGGTGAAAATCGTACTAACGTTAACGTTACGTAATACATGAACAGTACTACTGTAGTAATAGTACTGCGTACTACTAAGGTGTTTCATGCAATTTCCGCCCAGCTTGTCCTAACAGTCAACGTTAGCAACAAGCGATCTTTTTGCTATATTTTAGTGAATATATACCCGTTTCAATTGAAAATTTGTATGCCAGGTCAGAAATAGAATTGCGCAGCGAGCTGTATAATCAATAGACTTTGAAAGTGAATACCCTTCAAAATATTCTCATCAGAGTATTGGAATGTATGTCAATATTCACCCAACAACATTATAACCTCCCGGGGTTTATAACAAAAGGCAAAAATTGTTTATTCATTTATAGAGGTTTTGTTTAGAAGTGTAATGGAGGCCCTATCTATTTTTATATCTTCTCAAAATCAAATATAGACACAGGAATCGCCAGGTCAATGATGCTTCATAACTCTAATCTCAAACTCATGAACCCATCCATTGCATCCTGCTTTGCCTTTGTCAAGGAAGCTCGACACAGAACGTTGACTCGTGAGGAACGCCTGGACATCCTCCGTCTGCACGCATATTTTCGAAGTCAAGGCACCAAGGCTGCTGCTGCGAAGGTGGCAGAGTTGCTTGGCCGTGGGCTTGGGGTTGTCAAAGAGGTTTGGCGTGAGTACCTCCAATCGCGCTCTGTAACTGTTGCTGTGCCCCCATCGAACACCACGACGCACAGCACGACTGTCCCCAGAACAAAGCAAGTTGTTAGCATGGTTCAAGCATTCGTTCGTGGCCGACGCGCAACAAGGACCCGTACAACTGCTGTGGACATCGTCATCTTCCTGCGTGAGATATGTGTGTTGGACTTCGACTTGGAGGACAAGAAGGTGTACAGCCTCCACCTCCGATCGGTTCAACGCTTTCTCAAGTATCAAGGGTACGAGCGTGGCAACAAGAAAGGCTTATCCTCGTACCATCTGTCCAAGAAGAACACCGTTACTCGCGACTTGTACGTTCAGCGGATGCATCCTCATGTTGGTTCTGCATCCCGCCCAGCCATTGTGTACACCGCTGAGTCTTTCGTCCATCACCACTACAAGTGCCACAACCAAAGCTTGTATGACCCGTCGGACGTGTTGGACGTCGCACCGAAAGAAAAGCACAAAGGGCGCCGGTACTGCTTTATTGCCGCCATCCTGGACTCGCCAACGATGGACAGCCGTGTCATGGCTCTGGATATTTTCACTGGGGGGACCACCTTGGCTAAAGAACCAAAGGACTATCACGGCATGTTCGACCATGCATACTATGTTTGCTGGTTCCAACGGCTTCTGGACGAGTTGGAGGAGATCCGTGTGTCCAACGCTCTCATAGTAATGGACAATGCCAAGGACCACAAGGGGCGTCCTAGCAATACACCACAGAGCCGACATCGCAAGGAGGTGTTGATCGCGGCATGCACGATGTACGGCATCCCAGTGACTGGGACAGAGTTCAAGAGTCTCTTGTGGGAGAAGTTAGCCGCGTACATTGAGACCAACGTTCTGCCCGTTGTCATGACAATGGCGTCGGAGCGAGGCCACACCGTTGTGTATACCCCCCCTCACCACTCCGACCTGCAACCGATTGAAATGATTTGGGCACTCGTGAAGGGTGACGTTGGTCGACAATACACCGACATGACGAAGTTCCCCGAGGTGAAAACTCGATTAGTTGCTGCGTTTGCAAAGTTGACGCCTCATGCTATCCAGGGTTGTGTGAAAGTCGCAGAAGGTTCACTGCATATGCTTCACGAGCATTTACAACAAATTGATCGGCTGGAGTCCGACGAGGAGTCCTCGGCGGGGAGCGAAAGCGACGATGGTGGCAGTGATAGTGATTAGTTGGACCTCTTGATAAACA